TTACGCTTGTGACCTCATGCCCTATAAGGTCACTCTGCATCACAGGCCAAAGGAAATCAGGAACCATCAGCATTTACCTCCGAGTAGTCACTGCCTGGAATGAAGGGCAAGCGTGGGTATATTTCAGAAACTAGCAGGAGCTTGACCTCATAAAAAAGTCAATTATCAAAATGCTACATGTAGAATGTCACAAAAAGAAATATATAAAAGTGGGTTCTACAAAATATCTTCCCTTCAAAGTAAATCTGAGACAACTTCAACATTTCATCTTCATCTGAATTATAACACGTTTCACAAAATAACATTAACCCTTCCTTAGTAAAAATTATCAACAGAACTTCTAAAAAGTATTTTGTAACATAAAAGTGATTATAAATACCTGAGAAAGAGTGATAACTCAGAAAACATTTACAATATTTATATAAGTCACTATCACAAGAATGTATGCAATATTTAGAATTCTGGTCCTGTAAACCATTAGAGTAAGAATCATAATGCACTTATCTTCAAATTTTCTATCAGAAATCAGGCATCAAAAGTTTACATAGAGCCTGCATTTATAAGGGATAAAATGTTTCCTAACACGATCTGGGACAGAACTCCATTACCTGAAGCAAAATTCTCATTATCACCCAACGAGGACTTGGTTTTTATGAAAATTTGTGAACTAGCTTTTCAGTTAAGGCAGACCATTGCTCCTTTTTCCTCGCCAGTGATTTCTGGTCTACTGCCAGAATCTCTTAGCAATATAAATTCAAGTGAATTCTGAGGCAGTGACAATAAGGAGAACAAAACTACAGAAACCAGCACAGCAAAGGAAAGGGGACCGTCAGCCAACGTTCACTACGTGTATAATCCTCTGTGCTGGATGCTGTACAGGAAGTCTCTCCTTTACCGCTCTCTGCAGTCCTAAAAAAACAACTGGCTTCTGGCTCATTGCTCTCCTTAGGTTCTCAAACCTACAAAAGTCTTTTATTACATAATGTACCTAAATAAAATTCCAGAAGACCCCAGTCACTATGACCAGCTGACTTGTCATCTTAGTCCCAGCTCAATTACTTACTGGCTGTGAAGCCAGAGAAAGGTACTTCCCACTTTAAACCTCAGGCTCCAGAGCTGTAATATGAAGGGCTATCACAGCCCATCAGCCTAGTGTGACATTCTGCTCTTCAAGCAAATGCATTTTCTGAGTCTCAGACAAACATCTAACAAAGGGACTCTTAGACCAAGCTCAGTCATAACTTAGGAGCTGCCAATACTGCTTGGGTAATTACTACACATTTTAAAATGCTTAGCCTGATTAAATTATAAGAAAATATCTGATGAATGGTGTATTTACCATAGTGCTTAATATTTTACCTACTTTAATAAGAAGATTCCTATGCTAAAAATAGGTTTTAAGTTCCTAAAAGAACATTTTATGCTGTTAACTTGCTACGATAATCATCTTCTACAAACATTAATGATTATGGTAGAGGCGACTGCACTACAAGCATGTTATGGCAGGTGTGGCCTGTCCACCAGCTGGCTCCATAACCTTTTGATCCCTTTGGACAGCAAATCTGTTCAACAGCCCTATGTGGTCATTTCTCATTTGTTGTATGCTTTCTTCTCCTTTCACACATTCAGAATCCTTACTCCTTCAGCTTGACATTCTTTTATTTAAATAGAAAGCTCCCAGTAAAGCAAACTAATTTTACACTCAGACAATGTTAAAGTTCCAGAACAGATTACTATATCATAGAAAGAGTTGTTAGTGTGAGCTATTTTAGTTATATGTAGACTGCATGTTTATTCTTTCACTAAAAATACAATAATAGGAAGTGATAAGATTAAAATTTTAAGTGAGCCAGTATTCAGTTAATTTATAAGGAACTCCAGGATACTATAACTAACTAAAAGGACTTTAATTTACATAAATAGAAAGGTTAAATCTGACCTAAGAACAACCTAGCTTATGCTTATTTATTTATTTTTAAGATTTTATTTATTTATTTGACTGAGAGACAGCGAGAGAGGGAACACAAGCTGGGGGAGTGGGAGAGGGAGAAGATGGCTTCCGGCCGAGCAGGGAACCCAACCCCATGCAGGGCTTGATCCGAGGACCCTGGGATCACGACCTGAGCCGAAGGCAGACACTTAACGACTGAGCCACCCAGACACCCCTAGTTTATGCTTATTTAAATAATGACGAGAAATATTTTCTTACAATTAAGAGTAATTTTCGTATACGTTTCTGCTCCAATTTATTGTTGTTGTTAATATGGCTAGAAATGACATTGTGTGAAAGCAGGATTAGCTCAAATATCTACTCATTCCTCTACCCTGAACACCATTTTAAGATCTAAGGATGCTGGAGGAAGCAAGACAGAATAAATGGTGGTTAAGAAAATCAGTTTTGTAGTCTTGACAGTCACTTAGTAACTGAGGGACCTTAAGAACGTTCCTTAATCTCTCTCGGCCTCAACTCGCTCATCTGGGGGAAAAAAAGCGGGGGGTGGTAGTGACAGGAGTGCCTACTTTACAGGCTTATTTCAGTGGCTCAATGAAATAACACAGACCAGGCACTTAGCAAAAGCCTGACAGAGAGTGTTCAATTAACGGTACGTATTGTCATTATTTTACTTACTCATACTGTATCCTCTCTGGACCCTCTAATAGGCCTCTCACCTAGCAACATATACATTTTCATCATTGCTTTGGGGAGTAATCTGAGACCATATTACACCTTTATCTTGTAGCTAACTCATTCCCTTCTTTCCAGGAAAAAATAAAATAAAATGGCATTCACCACCATTGCTAATACCTTTCTTCCCAAACTGTCAAGAATACAACACTGTATGCGTCTTCGGTGTCTTCCTTAGACCTTGATATGTAGTCTGTCACCAAGCCTTAGAAATACCTTTTATTCGGCTCTATCTACATTTAGATCTGGGTCCCCTATCCCCTCTGTAGTAGCTTCTCAGCTACATACTCTACTTCAGTCCACTCCCCCAATGTAGTCCATTCCAAATAAAGGTGTCCTGAAACAGTTTCTCATACTTTCACAGCAGCACTGTTCTTTGAAAAGGATCTCCAGTGATTTGCTATTGTTTCGCCTTCAACTTAGGTTTGTCCTTTAATTGGAGTATCTTGCTTCCTCCAGCATCCTTAGATCTTAAAATGGTGTTGGGGGCAGAGGAATGAGTAGATATTTGAGCTAATCCTGCTTTCACACAATGTCATCTCACAGTTTGTCTTTAAATTGGGGCATCTTTTATTCAATAAGGTTTATGATGAGCTGATGCGCTAATTCTGTTTTTCAGAATATTATGAAGCTAACAGTCACAAGTGACTGAACAAATACGACTGTTCAGGGTTCTTCAAATGCTCAAAAGCAAAGCTTTTTTCATCCTAGTCTTACTCTTCTAAACATTTTTTTACATGTAGAAGATACTAAAGCCTACGCATACCTAAGTAAGAACTTTAAGCCTAATACCTTTCAAAGAGTCCATATGTTTAAAGACTCTGGTTTTTCAATTTCCTTTTATTAAAATGGAAAAATTCCCAGTGAGCAAATGAAAGTCAATATTATCTCAGTAAATTCTGTTACCTAAACAGATTAAAGAATTTTAATTAGAGTTGTTAATATGGTTATATGTAAAACACATATTTGCATTTTTATAGATTATGAATGTATTTAATATAAAGTGCTTACCACAGCCTAGGCATTGTTCCATGTGCTTACCAAAGATTACCTCATTCCAAACTCAGAATAACCCTATAGTCTATCATCTTCATTTCATCTGTGACAAAAGTGAGGCTGAGAAAGGTTAAATATCCAAGGTCACATACCTAAAAACAACCACTAGAGTCACCACTGACAAACATCTGGTAGACTTACACCAGGTATAACAATTATAGTCCTTTTTTTTTTTTCTTTAAAGATTTTATTTGACAGAGAGAGACACAGCGAGAGAGGGAACACAAGCAGGGGGAGTGGGAGAGGGAGAAGCAGGCTTCCCGCGGAGCAGGGAGCCCGATGTGGGGCTCGATCCCAGGACCCTGGGACCAAGACCTGAGCTGAAGGCAGACGCTTGACGACTGAGCCACCCAGGCGCCCCTACAGTCCTTTTAGAATCTTGTTTTCATATCCTTCTTATACAATCATGTGTTGTCTGTCTTGACATGTATAGTGAGTATCTTATTACTAAGAATTTGGTATTGGCAAAAAACATTTAAGATGAATCCACCTAAAACCTAGGCCAAATTTTCATAGTAAAAAGTTCTAAGTTTCATTGAGAATTTAACTTAAAAAGTAAAACTGATTTTATCTTATACTCAATATAAGAGTTTAAAACTTTAACTCTGAATTCTTCTTTAGAAGAATAAAGAACCAATCAAATGATGAATTGGGGATGAAGTATACTTTTCTAAAAAGAAAAAAACTACAAGAGCATAATACAACTTTTCTTCAATGACCACTTGATCTAACAGCAGAATCACAAAGGTTTGATTCTGCAAAAAATATTCAAGCTCTTCAACAATTTTTCCCAAGGCCTTTCCCAACCCATTCAAATTATTCTTTTGAAAGATCTGTCCATCAAAATCCTTGCTAATTTTCTTTTCCATTAGTACACTGGTCTAACTTTACCCGGTCTTTACTTCTTAAGGATTCACAATTCCAACTTAGAAAGGATCTGCACTTGCACATCATCAGATCGCTATCTACAAGTTGGCATCCGCAAACATAATCCTGCAACAGAGACAGACGCTACTGCTAAACAGAGTAGGATTTTTGATTGGGGATTAATTTTACAAGAGGTCAGTCCATCAGAGATATATTCTTTTAAACCAAACTCCAAACTCCCATAGGGATTCGGAAAATGAATGCGTAGAATTCGAAGATCCCTTATTTTCACTTTAAATGACTCACTTTTGTTGAGAGGCAGTAATGAGCATATCTGTGAGTTTTAGAACTTCTGTATGTAAACATGAAAAGTTTTGTAGTGAATTCTTACGTGATATGACATGGTCCATGTACTGAGGTAAATAAGGGGCCCAGGCATCGATGGCTTCCTTCCGCCCCGCCTGCTCAATTCTTCGCAGTTCAGCTAGAAGCAGGGCCTGGGCGGCTTCTCGGACCTGAGAAGGAAATGGAGCCAAATGAAACAAGAGGAAGCAGGTCAGTTGGTGAGGTGTTTAAAAACTAGAAAGTTCATCATGAAATAAAGCTAGGAAATATACAAGCCACATTTATTTATAAGAGAAAAACCACAAACCAAATAATGAACGAAGTACTGAATAAATTGGATGTGAGCAAAATCAAAGACAATTTAATGAATGATCTCACCAAAAAATATTTTAACACTAATAGAATTATATTTGTACATTTATGTAGCGCTGGGTTTAAAATTTCATTCTCCAAAGCTTTTTAAAAATGTAACATTCTTGAGCTTTAATTTTCACTTTAAAATTTCCATATAATTGTTAGTGTTAAAAATCAGTTAGAACTGTTAAACTTGTCTTCTCTTTTAGCCTGAAGAAATTTAACCTTATCTAGTGAATTTCTTTATATTTATATACTAAGTAGGTATTGTTTGCACAAATATATGTGTAAATCTGCACAATTCCTGTATACCTAAGACACGTTTAAACAACTTTCTTCAACAAATGGCAAAATATATTCCTGTGTAATGGCATTAATTCTACAGAAGGAAACTAGTTTTCAAAGTTCCATCATTTCAGTTTGTCCTTCAATGCAGTCTTAGTTGAGTTTTATTTTGGCAAATTACCACAAGCATGGGGTTAACAAAGCTATTCAATTGTCAAGTGGTATATCAATTTACTAACTCTTTATCACTGAAAAGGTAACTCAGCAATGTCTGATAAGAGTTTGAATAAAAATTGTTTTTAATTATAACTTTTGAAGTGAATTCAAATATTACTTAATGCAAAACCATGAAAATTTTAGTATGCTACAATTCCACTTAGAATTGAGGGAAGGGAAACCAGATGGGGGAAATATTTATATTTGATAAATTTAAAATCTTAAATGATACAAACTGCTATAGCTAGATAGGTCAAATGCCATAGTAAAGGAAATCTCTATCTATAAAACATTTCAAAGTCCCTGGTGATATTATATTCCAAGCGATGTCTAATACAGCATAAGTCCATTAACACAAAATAATAGGTACCATTTATTGAGCTCCTACCCTGTGTCAGGCTCTGTACTGTTTTACTTGCATTATCTGATTTGATCCTCATAGCAATCCCATGAGGAATATAGTATTATCCCCACTTTACAAATGAGCTTCAAACAGGTTAAGTAAATTGCCCAGGGTCACAAAGTTAATAATTGGCAGAACTGATATTTAAAACCAGGTCTCTTCAAATTCCAAAGACTTTCTTTTATTATAACACACTATCTTCCACTGGACAAGGGCTATTCATTTAGAATTTGACTGATGTGATTATATCTCAGTGTGTGATTTTTAGGGGAGGTGGGTGTATGTATGTGAGCATGCATGTATGTTAAGCTATACAGAATAATCTCTATAAAAACCAACACACAAAGAAACAGTTCCATAAAGTATATGAAACTTTTGGTCAAATACTCACTGGATTAAAAAGTAAACACGCAAGCTAGAACATTACTGTTCAGTATATAAACTGAAAAAAAGTCATGAATCCATATTTTCTATCACATAATAAACGAAAAGAAATTAGATAAATATTAACCATTTCATTTCAAATTTACACTTGTCTACTGCTTTCCTGTTTTTGTTTTCTATCCACAGCACATCAATGTTACCTCCAAGCATCGGTCTTGCCATCTCCGAGCCAGCATCTCTAGGAGCGGAGGCCTAAATTTATCCAGTCCCAGCAGGTCTGGTAGCATCACGCAATGCATAGCAGCCAACTGGCTCCATCCTGTTAAAAAGTAACATATTACAAATACTTTAGCACTTTGGCATTCCCTAATTCAAAGATATTTCTTTAAATATTACACCAAAAATTAAAAAGGGCAAATGTGCTAAATTATGTTATGATTTCAACTTACTATTTTATACAAATAATTATATCAAACGTAGTTTATCTCTAAATCATGTAGTTGATACTTATAAGAATTCTCAAAGTCTTAAATAAAAATAAACTTCCACATAAAGTATATATAAATTCTACAAGGAAAACATATTTCTAAACAGCCCCTCTAAAAGAAAACATATTCAGGATTGAGAAAACGTAGAAATAAACATGTACTAGAGTTGCAGACTTGATACCACTTTCAGTTAAAAGGGCATTCACACAGATATCCAAAGGTAAGTTCATGTCTCTGAAGGCCTGGCCATCTGTGTATGACCACCTTTGTCGGTCAAGAGAGATTTCTTCCCTTGTCTGTCACAGGGCTTTTAATTAATACTGATTGATCTCTTATCTTACAAAATGAATCAGATATTTAATCACAATCATAACTAAGTAATATAACATCAATTTTGAGAGGAAAAATGAATTCAGACATTTCATAAAATAAAAACCAGATAATCCAAACTTGACAACATCTTAAGTATCATTAACTTTAATCTATGGGAATAAAAGTTATTTTTTCCAGAATTCTCATCCATAACATGAAACTTGATTATATGAAGAAAAAAAACACTGCAAGCCACTGCAATATCTAAAAGTAACGATATCCAGACATTCTCAAGTAAGCATTTCAACCCTGTTTTAAAGGTGGGTCTGAAAAATATATACACAATAAATGCCTCAGTCTTCCCAAATCATGTATGAAGCCACTATTAATCCACAATAATTACTATTACCCTCTGAGGATAACACTTAAAGACAAATAATCAAGAATTAATGCAAAAAAACAACTATCTACTACCATATAGAAGGTGAATTGTCTGTGATCACAGAATTTTAACAAATCAATGTTTTGAAATACTCTAAACTGGAGTTTTCTAAAACAACAAGAACCCTATTATAAAATTCAAAATAATTACTGGGATTACTTAAAAAAAAAGAGAGAGAGAGAGAATAAGTAACATATAAGCCACCTATCTAAAGATTCATCCTTTTGTAAGGAAATTCTCATTAACTGAGAATATATAATTAAATAATTAAGGTGATGAGCACATTTTAGATTCCAATTTATTTTATATACAGAGAGGATATATATACATAGAGGATATATATACATACATATACACAATATATACGTAAATATAAATTACAACCTAACAACTTCTTGAAGTGCTTCAATGTCTCATAAAAGTATGAAGTGTATTTATGAGCTGAATTTTAATAGGATAGTGATTCTCACCATGGTCCAAAGTCAAGAGCTTTTTTTTTTTTGAAATAACAAATTACTATCTTTCACAATAGCTTAACAAATTCGACCTTAATTATTTTTGCTAAAATCCAGTCTTAGCATACTAACCTTAGTACATGCCTATGACAGGGAAGCCAAACAAAAAATGAGTTATACTTTTGTGCTCCCATGTTTTCTTTCCAAATGAGTGGTACTCTGAACATGGGCTCTGTACTTTACAGATACTGTAGCATTCTTTCCATTTGAATGGACTGGTAATACTGCTTTTTAGTGAAGAGTCAGAATCAATCTGGATTACATTTGAGATTTTGTAAATTTCCTCCTTTTTGTATTATACATACTGGTGAAGACAGAGCCCACAATGAAGACAGTGAATATAACTCAGAGCTCACAAGTTCCATTAGGCTTCCAGGCAGTATAAATAATCCCATAATGGCTCTTGGGGAAAAAAGGTTTGTGGATTCCATTCACATTTTCAGAGTTCCAAAAATACTTTCAACTAGTGTAACTCCACAGGGATAATATGATAGCCTAACTACATCTTAAATATTGAAATTATGGATTTTTGCCTCATCCAGAAACAGAAATAGTAAGGAGGATAAACAGGTGAATTCCTCTCAGTTTATAACCATTGGTTATAAAGTTCTGAAGACTTCTCTAATGATAATGTAAACAGACCCCTCACATCTCCCTCTAACCTCAGAGTAATGATACATGCAAAATAGATTCATTAGTTCTAACACCAGAGATCACATGGCAAACATCATTATGAAAACCAAACCACCTTTTAATACCTACTTCACATCAAAGATTAGCATCTTTGCACTTCTTTAATGGCATTCTAGTTACAAGAAACACAGTTTATACCAGCCAGGAGCAGCATTACATTTTCAAAACTGGCCCTTATCATTGACATTAGCAAATAAAGTTAAAAAATGGAAAATTTAGGATCTCATATATAACAAAGCAGATAAATGTATAAACTGGATAAAAAGAACATGTCATATCAGAATAAAGCACAGACTGAAAGGGAGTTGTTAGAAAGTTGAGAGAGAATACCTTCATTTACTAAGAAACAGGTATGTAAAGCAGGAGTAGAAGCAGGGTCAGAGCCAGAGTGGTCAGCATCAGACCGAGCGGAAATGACAGGAGCAGGAACTTGCAGAGAAAACAGAAGAAATAAAGAGGAGAGAATTGAGGTACAGCGGCTTCTGAAAAAAAGCTCAGTATTAGTGAAGAATGAAAAACAAAGTTGGCAAAATATAGTAAATGGAGAACTGAAAAATGATGTTTTCATCAGGAGGGCATGATCGTTGAGATTACGGCAGGGAAATGATATATTTTACTGAATAGTCATCACAGTGTAGTTCAAATTCCTCTTAAAACCAAAATCTATTTAATACTCTAATTTATCAATGTACTAATTAATACAAAACAGTTCTAAAACAAGGCTACAAGGAAAAAATGACAGACATATTAAGAATTAGCAAAAATGTAATTCAATTTTTAAAATGTATCACATACTGAAAAGTTTCAGTTGATCTTCATATTGCCAATTACATTTTTCTAATAATTTATTTCCTAACCTTATGTGTAAATTTTTTATTATCTCAAACCAACATCCACTGAGATCACTTCAATTTTCCACACTCATTTTATAAAAATACAATTTAAAATCTGCCAACTTATAAAGAATATATATACCAAACAACTTTTGTGAGGAGAACCCTAACATAGCTTCATTTTTAATTTAAAAAATACTTTTATGATACCCATATTTTATATTATAAAAGTAATTATTGTGAATGTTCTAATCCTCATAAAATACATGCAACAACCCCACCCCACCCCCAAAAAAGTTATGTTACCAGGAAAATGTTTCAGCTTAAATTATCATATGAAAAGGCAAAAAGACCGTATGGCACACACATTCTACAACTGGAGGTCAATGTTAAGATTTAGAGGTCACCATTTGACACTTCCTTCCTATGGAGAAATTACCATATGTCATGCACAAGCATCTTCAAATTAATCCCTCTCCTTTCTTCTGTCATTGAACAGCAATAGGTTTGGGCTCCTGAACAGATTAAGCATTGTCCACTGAATGATATGTTTGTTTTTCATGCAGTGAAGTTCCTTTGGTAACTACAGGACAGTTGCATGAAAACAACTTTTCATAATTTCCACACGAATGCATCATAATGTCAATCAGGCACGTGTGAGGTAGTAACCAGTAGAACTAAAAGTACATCAACAGTAATAAAAAACAGAAAATCCAATTCCATACACCCTAAGAAGCACATCTTATAACCATGAAAGTCTCATTTGGGAAATTATAATTGCTTTTATTATCACAGACCTGTTTTTTTATTCCTTATGAAATTATAATAATTTTATAATGTTATGTTTATGAACAAAACAGAGCTTTTCTTAACTGCACATTTCCTAAGATATAAGAATTTACTGTAATCTTGCAAAGAAATCTCAAATATTTTTATGTTCCATTGAATAAATTTTTCATTTAAAAATTTTTTAATTACGAATTCAATTATTATGGCCTATCAAATATTTGCTTCCTCATGCAAAAAGTTGGCGAGCCTGGATGGCAGAGAGTAAATTTTCAGGTTTTAGCTTTCATGCCACCAAAATTGTTCACAAAGTTCCTCTAGTGGTTTCCAACAACTGAGACACTTCTATAATTTCACTTTAAAAAAAAAAAAAGGAGAAATTATTATTATCATCCCTGAAAAGGCTGTGGTATCTGATTTTACTCTTAAGTGAGAGGACAGCAGAGTGAGAGGTGAGGAAATTAAATACAAATGAGTAAAAGTTCAGGACTGAGTGATCATTACTCTAGCCAGGTCAAGTAAGTAGTGGGATTAAACTCCATCTCTGTAAGTCACAAACATAAAGGAAACTAAAAATGCTACTGAGAAAAGTGCTAGAATAAGCATAATAGGTCTTAACAGAATTATGTTTAATATATGTAAGTTTATTTTAATGAGAGAAATAACAGACTCTTTTTTGGAGTCCTGTTTAAATGACAGTATATAAAGAAAAAGCCATTTACATTTTCCTTTAATAAATTCTGTGAGCACACACACACAAAAATCAAGAATACTATAAGAGAGATCAAGGAATCAGATTTACTATGCTTTAAAAATCTTGGCATCACCACCAAAAAATACTTCATTCAGACTACCTCACAGCTGAGACTGCAGAATCTAGAACTACGTTTTATAATTGGGAATATTCAAATTAACTCTGCTTAAGCTTTTAAAACTGTCCACATGTAGAAAAATCAGCAAAAGAAATTTTAAAAAGTACCACCCCCAAAACAAAAAGTTCAAGGTTTAATGACAATAATCTGAAAGAAGTCATATGTAGCACTGAATACTGACAATTTACAGCATAGAGCATAAGCAAGCATTTGGTTTCTTAAAACAAAAAAGCTGCGATGTCAATTATCAATTGGCTTCTCTTATTAAGGATTAGTAAAACCTAAGGGCAAAAGTCTCAGCATAGCCTCAAGTGATGACAGAGGTGGCACAAGTTCTATTATTCTACCTAGGAATAAAGGGGGGGACATCGGAGGGGG